TTGGACGTCACCAGCCGCCACTGAGTTTCATCACTGTTGGACTAAAAGAAAGTGTTGTGGCAATATTCACCCATCCTGTAGAGTACTGTATATAGGTTGTATCTTCTTGCAGAGGGTCATGTCATCATGTAATATCAGACCCATCTTAAAGGGAGGCCAAAGCAGTGTCTCTGCAGTGTCTGGTAATAAATAATTGAGGGATACCATGTGTGGCAACACCAATCCATAACTAACGTCATACCATGAAATGTCCATTAACTGCACATTCCTGTGGAGCTTTTACTTGGGAGATAGCGTAAACATTTCAATTACTTGTGAAGTTTGGAAACCCCCCCCCCAACTGACTTTGATTGCGGTTTTGCAGCTATCCAATTAATTCAACTCTGCCCATATTGTTGTATTTCAGGTAACTCTTTTTAAAAATGTTTGTCCATATTGGACAAGGGAAATATGATATGGTCAATGTTTCATAGGGTTCTTGGTTGCACAAAACTACATATTCTGGTTTGGGAACCTTGGGATGAGTAATATCTATCAAATTATAGAAAATCTATTTTTAAAAAGCAAGCATGTCGTCCCCTGTAGCTCAGTTGGTAGAGCATGGCGCTTGCAACGCCAAGGTTGTGGGTTTGTTTCCCACGGGGTCGTTCTGGATAAGAGCGTCTGCTAAAATGTATATCCCAATGAATATAAAGCAAGCTCACTCTATGACCATTTCAATGTCAATATGCATTTTACACTATTCTAAAGTAAAAGTCCACTTTCGGTGACTTCCAGCCAAGTTTTTATGTTGGTTCTAAGGTTCTACGGCAACTCTTTCAGTAATCTCTCTTGGTTCAAAGAGTACTCTTATCTCCTCCTCCCCTGACGTTTTTGCGCATTTGTGTCTTGCAAAGGAAGCCGAAAGTAAAACGGACCGACAAAAGTAAATGGGAAACAGCCTATTCACATTCTCAGAGGACGGCTATTACTTCTGTAGTCTTTAAATGTCAAAAGCAATTTTCTGCTCAGTAAAAAAATGTTTGAGGCCTAGACTCATCATAAAAATTATTAATGTTCTTTTTATATTCCCTCTGATGTTGTGGGCTTTCTTCATTCCTTATCACGCCATACATGTTTTCTTGGTCTAATCAAAAGCATTGTCAGAGAGGATAGTGAAAGAAATACCGACGCATACCTGGGAGTGCAGCCAAGTCCAGTGGTGTACGGTGATACAAACCTGGCAGCGCTGATATCCTCTCAACACCACACTTCCAATATTACTATCAGCCACATTCAGAATCATAGCCACACCATTGTTCTATTTTGTGGTGTGTTATGGACGCATGGCATGATACACCACAATGAAAGGTCAGTGTAATTCCTTTTTGGAGAGAGAGAGAGAGGCCTCTTTTCTGTGATACAAAATCCATTGAATACAATTGTAGCCAGGTCATTCGAGGTAAGCCATGTGGACCGATTCCATGTTTTTCTCACAGAACGTTGTGTATGAAAATGTAAAGCCATCAGTCATGCTATGTGATGATTTGAGTATACAGTGGCACCAAGCCAATGCATCCCTCTCACTGGAAATCATCCGAACCACTCCAACTGAGTATTCATATTGATTGCTGCAATCTGTTTCAAATCAACAAAGTAGGCCTACAAATACAAACAGGGGTTTTCCCTGTAGTACTGTCTTTTGGAAGACACCTCTTGAGAATGGTTTAACCACTGATACCATTGCCACAATCGCACATTGACATAAACAAGGTATCCTTGATTTTGGGCTCTATTCAATCTGTATCGCTGAAGCGTTTATTATCTATGCATAGTCACTTTACCTCTACCTACATGTACATATTATCTCAATTACCTCGACTAACCTGTGTCCCCGCACATTGACTCTGTACCGGTACCCCCTTTATATAGTCTCACTACTGTTATTTTATTGTTGCTGTTTAATTATTTGTTATTTTTCTATTTTTTAATATTTGTTAATTTTTTACTAACAGTTTCTTAACACTTATTTTTCTTTAAACTGCATTGTTGGTTAAGGGCTTGTAAGTAAGCATTTCACTGTAAGGTCTACACCTGTTGTATTCGGCGCATGTGACAAAGAAAATTTGATTTGATTTTAAGTGTAAGGTAATTTCCGATTGACGACATATGCAGCGTTTACCGTGAATGCATTCTCCGCCAGAGTATGTGAGTGGAGCTAGAGCAGAGCGAGGAGCGGAGGTATATTACCACCAGTCCAGTTGGTGGTGGTAATGCACATTAAAGTTGGTTGCCAACCACCATATAAAGTCCAAAGAAGAAGAAGAAGCCTGAAGGAGGAGAGATTACTAGAAACAAACTCGGTTTACCCTTTTATCTGTGGATTAATTGTCGGAGTATAGGACCTTGTGCATTTCAGGTAAAATAACAACCCGATGTTTATATCCCAGGACAAATTAGCTAGCAATAGCAAGCTAGCTAGCTAAATTGCCATAAATGTTTAATGCTTTTCAACCTGTCCCCAAATTAATATAGTTGGTTCAGAGTTCGTTTTGATATTTCAACCTGCGTGTCCTGATCACGTCTGGTGTACAAAATCAACATGCGTTCGATGGTGCACGCGGACACATGCGCGCGCCCGGTCTAGTCAGCATGTAAGGCAGCTGATTCAGGAGGGTTGGGTTAAAAGCGGATGACACTTTTCAGTTGAATGCATTCAGTTGTACAACTGACCAGGTATCTCCTTTACCTTTCCCTTTATTCCCACTTTCAAGGAGATTTCCATTTTGATAGGGTTATTTTGCCTAAAAACCTTTAGACCTACCTGTATCACAGCGTGGCCCAAAGGGGGTTTAGCATCCCCAGTGGCTCTGAAAGCGTGGAGAGGATATTCTCAGCTGCTGGCCTGCTCTCTAGGCACCATCGCATGAGCCTGAAGCCACAGACTCTGGCCAAACTCGTGTTTCTACAAATTAATTCAAAGACACTGTAGATTGAGCCTAATAAGGCATTTTTTGTTTAATTTGTATTTAATTCTAAGTAAGTCACAGCCTATATGCAGAATGTATAGACTATAATGATTTAATACAATGAAATGTTGAACCCCCTATGGTCGATGTCCGCGCCCCCGTGGAAATAAAATTAGCATCAAAATCCGTCATTTAAGCTAAATATATAATTTTGTTTTGCATTGGATGCGTCTCAATCCACCAAATCCGCCTATGTAACACTTCCGCATCTGCGGTGAAAGGTGATTCAGACCATGAGACGTCCCAAAAATCGGTCTTCTCACAAAACCATCTCTAGAGTCCGAACGGTTTGACCTACAAACTATTATAAACGCTCTATGGAAAGATGAGACTTTCACGAACACGATGGTGTTCTCCATTTTGCTCTACAACTCATTTGAAGTTGGTACAGGCGATCTGCCAAATTCCGTCTGTAGCGTCCGAAAAGTTTGGGCTACACACTAATATGACCCCTCCGTGTAAAGGTGAGACTCCCACGAACACGTACATGTCGGTTGTTTTGCTCTAGACACGTCTGAAGGTCCCCCGGTACCAGTCGAAAAGATTTATGGAAGTATATTTGGAGATATCTGTTTAGTGACAAAAATACATGGACAAAAATAAAATATGCTTCCTGATCTTTCTTATATCTCTCAGATATAGAATAGACACTTCAGAACAAACTTCCTTTAGATTACCAGCCTAGTGTCGCACTCGCAAATGCTTCACAATGTATTTCTTTGTAGGCTATAGCCTTGAAATAATTGAAATAATATAGCCTAAATAATTCATTTAGGTTCCTTCTTAGGCTCCCTGTCTGGCTCCAGACCTATTTAGAGTGTTTATATGCTGTTTACTATGACATGAAATGATGAGCGCTTCTTCCATTCACCTTTTCATGTTTATTAAAATACTTTTCATTCAAATCATATGGTTTGGTTTCAGTACTTCAAAACCAAATGGTAGGTCCAGGTAGTCACAAAAATAGATCGGTGTTGGTTAAATTGTGATTTTAATGAATGGAGCGAATTCGGAGCAGCAGTTTGTAGCGGAGCGGTTGAAAAGTATGTGGAGCGCCGGAGCGTGCGCACCGCTCCATGAGCGATGAGTGGGATTTCCGACTGCTGCTCACATACTCTGGTCTCCACTAATGCGGGAACATTGCCTTCACATTTCAATCACGCTGTAACACTGAATTTCCGTGTTACGGATTGAATAGAGCCCTTACTTACAGTAGTAATACACACTGCCAACCCACTCCCTGGTTTCCAACTTATTTTTCATAGAAGAACTGGCCACCAGACGGTTGTTTTTGAGAGTAAAACGGCTTGGATTCACCTGACTGATTTTACCTCACAGCTACTTCACTCTGTTTATTTTCTAATCATGGCCCTCTCCAAGGCATCATTCTCTTCCATTATTGGAATGTGCAGAATACTTAGAGTTGTCATTAGTGTTTTTTGGGTATGCTGTGCCTGATAAGACCTCAACTTTTCTATGTTAATTAATCAAGCCATTAATTGTGTCCAACCCAGACCCCTATGGTCCAATTAATATTAGAACAAACATAAACAAATACAAACATTACTGTACTCAGCAAAATCTCTATGGGATAGAATTCTGCTTGGAACGTCATAATCCAACTGCCTGTTTGAAGAACTGATAAAGATGTTAATTGTTCAATCACTGAACAGACACAGACATTTACTGTATATTAGGAAAGAGAGAAGCATTGGATTATCTGACAGCTTTTATTGGCAGCAATTCAAATGATTCCTATGACGTTGGAAACCTTTCGTCCTCCCCATTGAACATAACATCATTCATGACCATCTTTTATTATGAACAGGTCACATATACCGCCTTTCACACTATTGTACTGACCCAAACTGTACTGTACTCTGCTATTGGTTCTGGCATTTTCTTTTCACATTGTGCATTCCAACATGGTTTCAGCAACTATGGTGGATGCGTTACGAGGTCAGCACAGTACAGCTCGGATTGTCTTGGCTAGGCTCAATAGTGTGAAAAGGGTCAAATTTAGCCCAAAATGTTGAGACACAAGTCCTTCTTCCTATATGGCACACCGATTCCGACACCCTTCAAACAATGTCCATCTACACAATGAGGAACAGAGGGCAGTGCTTCCACAGAAATGCAGAACAATGGTACTGTACACATAAAGAGAATCTGTTTGCTCATAACTTCATTTCAACAAAGGAGAAGAAAGTGTTTTATACTGAACACTTAGCTAATCATTAGCGAGAACAAATTAACTGGCAGATTGACAAAGTGCCCAATCTTCACTGCGGGCATGATAATCATTAGGTCAGAGCTGTCCCAGGTATTCTGTGGTTTCCATATCTCTTGCAGCCGACAGCACTTGGAATGATCTGAGTCAGGGTATTTGTCCAGAATGGCTGAATAAGCCGTAGCTCCATTGTCCATCTCTACCATTCCAGTATTGATCAGAAATAATGTTCCTCCTTCAGTCAGGTCAAAGCCAACGGTATTAAAGCCCTTATATCCTCAAGGGTCTTTTCCAATCAGTTTGTGCAGTTGAGTATGAAACAAAGACAGTTCATTGGAGTCCGTTTCTCATGACAACATTTCAGGTAAGAGTTTCCATTTATATATAGATCTTAAAGGATAACCGTGTAGTTTCCGATGGCGCTTTTTAAATTCACTGGATGTGCTCGGATAGCTGGATGGTAGGTTAGTCCACATAAAAAGTACTTTTATCTTGACTTGAAGCGATTACAATGTACAGATTGGTTTCAATATGTCTCAGTCCCTCTCTGTACACTTAAAGGACTCGCAGGTGCAATTGAACCACTAAGACACAAAAATATAAAAACGACTATGCTGTACATGTTTCGGAGGAAGTGTAGCTTATTGGCCAAAGAGTCCAATTTCTCTTGAATTTGTGAACAAATCATCCCATCTGCTCTATGGGTGGTCCTTGGCAGTGCTTCCTCCTTTAATGTCCATAAAAGAGTAGAAGTAGGAGCACAAAGCCGGTAAAGGCCGTTGGAGGCAGAAGGCCAAGTGAGGAGGCAGAGTTTGGGAGCCCATCCAATGGGAGGGTAGAATCTCCCCACAGTCGGTCGTTTCCGCTGGCCTAAGGGTGAGAAAGAGAGATCAATGTTGACCAAAAAACATTGAAGCCCACATGGTTAGCCTGAAACAGAAAAGAACAAAACTAGAGAGGTATTATTCACTGTCAAGGGCCAAAAAAAAGATATGCTCCACCATTCTGATTCAAATTTAAAAAACATAAGTCAAAGGTGATCAGGTGGGAGTACTGTAAATATGCAACTATAACCTCCCTGAACTTAACTGGCAAAGGTTTCAACTCTTGGCAACTCCTTTTTTTTTAACACTGTACAAACAACTGAACAAATATCTATTTTATCCCATTCTAGCTCTGACCCTGACAAAACAATCAACAAAACAATCACCACACCTGTGTTGGTATAATTGGGTCCGGAACGTTCCGTGTGGTCTCCACGGTAGCAGGCAGAGGGGTGGTGGCATGGCTCTTTCTGCCTGTGGCAGGGCTGAGTGGTCCCAATAGACTGGGCGTGGGTGCCATATCTGTCCCGCTCCCAAAAGCCAGGAGGGCATTCCCTGTTTAACAAGATGACAACAGGTACAGTGTGAGAAGAGAAGAGACAATTTGACTCAAGGCTCCCGAAATGGACCTGACACGTCTTCATCAATTTCCAATCACGCCCACATTCAGTTACTGCACAGTCAGGACCCATTCTGCATTCTGCCTGAGCGGCTCGGCTCAGGCAAGTTTGGATTTGCTCGGTGGAGAAGAAAAGGCGAATACTCAGTATTCTCTTCAGGTTTACCCAACTGCACCTGCCTCTCCACATCCTCTCATTAACTCACAGACGAGTGGCATTGGCCAAACAAGTCTGAGACCTCACTCTTTGTCCTTTTTTGTCATGGAGAGGAGAGGACACTGAGGAGAGGAGAGGCCACTGAGGAGAGGAGAGGCCACAGAGGAGAGGAGAGGCCACCGAGGAGAGGAGTAGAGAGGAGAGGAGAGGAGAGGCCACTGAGGAGAAGAGAGGCCACAGAGGAGAGGAGTAGAGAGGAGAGGAGAGGCCACTGAGGAGAGGAGAGGCCACAGAGGAGAGGAGATGCCACCGAGGAGAGGAGAGGCCACCGAGGAGAGTAGAGACCATCGAGGAGTGGCCACCGAGGAGAGGGGAGGCCACCGAGGAGAGGAGAGGCCACTGAGAAGAGGAGAGGCCACCGAGTAGAAGAGAGGAGAGACGAAGCGAGGAAAGGGAGGAGAGGAGAGGAGAAGGAGAGGAGAGGCCACCGAGGAGAAGAGAGGCCACCGAGGAGAGGAGAGGCCACCGAGGAGAGGAGAGGCCACTGAGTATAGGAGAAGAGAGGAGAGGCGAAGTGAGGAAAGAGAGGAGAGGAGGAGAGGCCACCAAGGAGAGGAGAGGAGAGGAGAGGAGAGGAGAGGAGAGGAGAGGAGAGGAGAGGAGAGGAGAGGAGAGGAGAGGAGAGGAGAGGAGAGGAGAGGAGAGGAGAGGAGAGGAGAGGAGAGGAGAGGAGAGGAGAGGAGAGGAGAGGAGAGGAGAGGAGAGGAGAGGAGAGGAGAGGAGAGGAGAGGAGAGGAGAGGAGGAGGCTATCTGATGGCTCTAGATTCACTGGTTGTCACTGTTTACCACAGCCACAAAGTCATAAAGCCCGCCTATTTCTACAATTTATCTTCTTAAAATGGTATTTTAAACTTAAACCATAACCTTATCCCCTTTGCTAACTTTATGCCTATCTCTAACCTTATCCACACTGCTGACCTTATGCCTATCTCTAACCTTATCCACACTGCTAACCTTATGCCTATCTCTAACCTTATCCACACTTCAAACCTTATGCCTATCTCTAACCTTATCCACACTTCAAACCTTATGCCTATCTCTAACCTTATCCACACTTCAAACCTTATGCCTATCTCTAACCTTATCCACACTTCAAACCTTATGCCTATCTCTAACCTTATCCACACTTCAAACCTTATGCCTATCTCTAACCTTATCCAAACATCAAACCTTATGCCTATCTCTAACCTTATCCACACTTCAAACCTTATGCCGATCTCTAACCTTATCCACACTTCAAACCTTATGCCTATCTCTAACCTTATCCACACTTCAAACCTTATGCCTATCTCTAACCTTATCCACACTTCAAACCTTATGCCTATCTCTAACCTTATCCAAACATCAAACCTTATGCCTATCTCTAACCTTATCCACACTTCAAACCTTATGCCGATCTCTAACCTTATCCACACTTCAAACCTTATGCCTATATCTAACCTTAACCACACTTCAAACCTTATGCCTATCTCTAACCTTAAATGAAGACCAAAAAGCTAATTAAAAAAAGAATGTATTAAGATATAGCCAATTTTGACTTTGTGCCCGCGCTATCTAGTGGAAACCAGATTTACCTTGCGCTCTCCGGGAGGAGGATAGCCCCTGTCTGTTTAAACAGGTCAGATGAAAAACACTGTAGCAAAGTCAATAATAAGGACGATTAATTATTCACTACATAGAAAGGGCATAAGCAAAATTGGAATAGAGATGGAAGACCATTAGGGTGAGAGAGAAAAAATCCCAGGAAACTTTGTGTACTGAGTCACCATGCTGACACATGATGCTCCTGAAATAAAGCTGATAGTGAAGGTCTGGGTCATGTGGTTGAAAGCACTCTTCATCTTCTATAAGGGATCATAAACATATCACACAAGCACCATATTGTATTTCACCCTCCTTTCCCTCTCCATAAACCATTAGAAGGTGGAACTAGCTTGTCTCCCATCACGTGAGGTGATACTACACTTATTACATGCAATAATGCAATTATTACTGTGCTATTATGGGTTAAGTCTGTAGGTTGAGTCTTCTAAGCCAATATTTACATCAACTGTTGAAACAGGAATAAATGCACAAGCCGTTAAGACAGAGGGTAAATGAATAAATAAGTCATTACTTTAGAATCACAGGGCTAACCTATTTCCTTTTCACTCAGGGAAGGCACTGTGAACACCCAGGTGGAATTACCAAGGATACAGCATGAAGGGGATGATTCATGAGAGAGAGATGGAGAAAGAAAGAGAGACAGAGATAGAGAGAAAAAGAGGGGGAGAGAAAGAGAGGAAGTGAAAGAAAGAGAGAGAGCAAGAGACCAAAACTCTGACTGGTAATTCTCCTACAGAGGAGATAACTCTTTAACATCTTCCTTCACTGCTGTTGAGCCTACAGGTAACTAACTGGTGTGGGACACATCTGCTTCATTCTATCACATTTCCCCCCTGTCAAATTCCCTTTCTATAATCTGCTCGTTCTACTCCTCCTACTGAGCCCAATTTGCTGTAGTCAGTTGGCGCAGGTATTCATCAATGCAAATAGGCTAGGTTGAACAAGGAGTAACACCATCCCTTATTTCTATCAACAATTTAAAAAATATGTTGAATAACTGCAAAGGCATTTTTGCGCAGACCAATTATTGTAATAGAAAACCATAGTGTTGTTTTTGAGCTGTTGGATTAATCATTCCTCAGAGAGAAAATAAATCTAAGCAAAAATCTAAATCAAGTATAGTAAAGAGATTTACCAGTACATACTTAGAAAAAAAGGTGCTATCTAGAACCTAAAATGGTTATTCAGCTGTCCCCATAGGAGAACCCTTTGAATAACCCTTTTTTATTCCAGGTAGAACACTTTTGGTTCCAGGTCAAACCCTATTGGGATGCATGTAGAACCCTTTTGGTTCCAGGTCAAACCCTATTGGGATGCATGTAGAACCCTTTTGGTTCCAGGTCAAACCCTATTGGGATGCATGTATAACCCTTTTGTAACCCTTTTTTCTAAGAGTGTAGGCTCATATGAGAGACATGACAAAACACTGACAGGCAAAATCCCCAGAACTCATGGAGTAAATCTCTGCTTTATCGCCTAAAACCTGCTACAGATGTCACACATTCACGTTAACAATCACGATGGCTATTCAACTTTATACAACGGGTGGGTCTAATCCTGAATGCTGATTGGTTAAAACCTCATTCCAGCCGGTGTCTATTCCTGAAGTTACCACCAGCTAAATCTATGACGTTAAAATAACTATTTACACTGTTCCATCTGACTGCGCAATCCACTGTCTAATCAACCCATTCAAACTTGATATCCACTCTAAAAAGCATCTAGACATTATCTCACATTTCTTTTAGACTAACATTTTGTTTTCAACAGTGGATATTTGTATAAACCTTGCTGTTTGTCTCCTGCTGTCCCATAGTATTGAACGTGTCGGGAGTCTGGACGAGACAGAAAGGCAGGCAGCGTTTCTCAGCCAGTCGAAATCATGAATCAGCTGGCATAATTTTTATGGATATATACAAAATAAATGTCCATTGAAAAAAGGTCAAACGAAACACAGCTAATGTGCAGTCTTTCCAGCTTCAGTCTGAAGTGATTGTGTTACTGTAGCTGTGTTGTTGGCTAGCTCCTCTGAACAACAGTGTCCTGACGAGTGAGCACATTTTCTATGCCAGGCGAAATCGCGCCTCATTAGGTCATTGTTTTGGATGTATCCAAATAAATGTCACTAGAAAACAGCTTAAACAAATGCAAATGCAGCTATTTTGCTGGCTGTTATTCTGGCTGAACTTTTTGACGTAACTGTAAATTAGCCGTAGTTGGCTAGCTTAGCAAGCAAAGGACAAGAACGTTGCCAGTCAGTATTGCAATGGAACATTTAGAACGAACAACTGGGTCGCGTCCATAGATACAGAACAAAAAGAGTGAACGACTGGGTCGCGTCTCTAGGAACCCTAGATTTGTGTCGGGACTATATCTTGTTGAAGGATGAAATAGTACGAATAAATTAATCAAAATAACGTTTTTATTGAAAATATGTCAATCATTATTTGGATATGTTGGTAACCCGTTGTATAAAAGTGATAATGCCCTCGAAACCAGTGTTTGGAGGATATATTGGCACGGTTTGTCGGGCCTCGACTTCGAATCGGGCCTAACAACACTTAAGTGAATTATCACTACCTTCCATGAATTCGCCCCATATCATGTACCATTAGAACATAAGGAACAATACTTTACAGAAATAGGGCTTTTTGAGATACAAGACGATGTTGCTCTTGTTCTTCCCCAGTCTAAACCTTTCTAACATGTTCATTAGGGAACACCGTAGCAAAACGTTTCAAAACATTTCCAAAAGTTCAGATAGTACCTTGGGCTGTTTTCCTCCATTTCATGCATAGTGAACACAACCCTACACTAAGGCTGCATCCCATATTAAACCCTATTCCTTGTATAGTGCACCACTTTTGACCAGAGCCCTATGGAACCTCCATTCTAAGTCACTGGAGACTGCTTTCAGTGATGTCTTGATGGATTAGGAGCCGTTGGGAGGCACTCACTGAGACAGACGTTGTCGGTGAAGTATTCCAGGAAGTCGGAGCACTCTTCTCTCTGGTTCCCACTGGCAGAGCAGGAGCACCATGGGGCCACGCTAGATGTGGAGTTATCCACATAGTTGGGAGTTATCGAGCTGCCTGTAGAAACAATGTGTGCTCAGTTCAGTATCAAATATTTATTCCCTCCAAAGACCCATTGTTACAAGACTGTTTTTACAATGTTATACAAATTCAAACATTTATGAACAGTATTTGCAATTCACAGTTCACTCGCACAATGTAAGGGGGAATATTGTTCAAGAAATGAGCAGAAATGCAGACACAATATCAAGTGTGTTGAGGGTAATTCTTGCCAGTTATCTGTTGCTTGTCAAAGACGCTTCAATTTGTGCTTCCTTTGAAAACGTTTGGAAGTGTTTGTGTGCCATTTCTCTCCCAAGTTCTGAAATGGAGTGGAAAGTTTTCAAGTGCTTAATAAATACAGGCCAGGAATGAAAATGGCAAGTGTTTGTTTGTGCTGAAGGGCACCATAGGAAGCTCTTGAAATGCATTAGGTCGCTTTGTGCTCTTTTCAAGAGCATGAAAAATAAATGGCCGTTCTTTGAGCGAGTGCATAAAACAAAGTTAATAGCCTAATCACCGATCAAGCAACATTATGGACTTTACTTTGAAATCCTGTTGCTGCAGGATTGTTTTGCTACGACAATACGGGTCAAATTAAGATCCTACATCTGTACTGCTTTAAACCTCCACAAATAGGATCTACTCAAATCCTACTCATACTCATTCACTATAGGCCTACAGTATTAAAGAAGCTACATGTAGCATTTCCACCTGCAAATAGCAAATAGTTTCCGTGAAGGTACATGCATCAGCATCTTCCTGTTTCATGATTGGTTCTCGTTCGTAAGGTTGCAAAAATAAACAACATAACATTACCTCACGCCCATGCAGCAGATGTTTTTTGGGTTATGATAAGGTCAGAAAGCAGTGCATAAGCTATTTCTGGTATTTCTAAGATATACTTTGAAAACCACAAGGGAATCTGAAGTATTGCTGAATTGTTACATGTAGCTCCTTTAAATAGTAACTTTAATTTCCCCTCCAAAGTAAATATTTCCTTTCACTCTTTCTCCTGTTCTTTATTCATTAGTTTACCTTCCCTCACTCCTAATTTCCCATGTATCTAACTGCTTTCTCCATTTCAGTACACTGTAGGCTAGTTACATTTTCTCCACTCACATTCTGTATGTTAAATACTTCATTTTCTCTTTCTCCTGTTCTTTATTCATCGATTTACCCTATCCTCCACGTTCGGCTTTCTCCCATCCTTTCTCCCATCCTTTCTCCCATCCTTTCTCCCATCCTTTCTCCCATCCGTTTCACATTCGCTCTCTTCATCTCTGTACCCACCTATCAGGCCTGTGTAGGCGAGTAGACAGGCTCCATAGTTCCCCTGCTTGCAGCCGTTGGCAGACGACTCGGCTGGTTGGCAGTCGTATTGGAACTGAGCCAGACGGGACCTACACAGAGCCAACACAACTAGCACTGTTTAGTAGCGAACAAGGGCCGGACACCAATTACAACGACAGCATACCGTAAAGATAGCATGTTTTATTTAATTGTTTTCACTGGAGGAAGACAGGGCTTCGCTATCTCCATGAGCTATAGATTTGGTACAACACTAGTATGTTTAAGGCTATGTGGCGGACTGCAGTGACGGGCATTGGTTTATTTTATTTGTTTCATTCCACAAGCCAGAATCATTAGTTCAGCCCCAGAGCAGTAAAAGGGGTGGTGAAAATAATGGTCATGACCAGCGATTGCAATGAGTGATAACTCTGATCCATCTTACGTTTTATCTGTGTTAAATATTTTATGTGTTATTATAGCAGACTCTCCAGGGGGTTTGGGCGTAGAATATTGAGCCATTTTGTTGATTGAGTGCTTTGCTTGTTCTGTTTTGTGTGTTGATAGCAGGGTGGTTCCCAAATAATGGGTCACAGCCCCAATGGTGGGTCACAGCTGGTACTGTCTGGGTCAGGACTAAAGACTGTCTTGGTTTGGTTGAGTTGGTGGGTCACAAGATAATACAAACAACTCTACAGTTTTTCTATAAAAGTGAAAACAAGTTTGGGAGCCAATGTTAAACATCTTACACTCAGAGTACCAGACTGAGAGAGATGAGCTGGCAGAGATCTACCCCTCTGGGAGCAAGCTGAGGCACAACATGACCAAGAACAGAAATGAGTGGTAGCAACTCATTGTGCCCTATGTCCCAAAGGGGAAAGTCAGTAAATACTGTAGGTAGGCCTACAGTATATTGCACATTAACAGTGTGTTGTGTTATTAGAGTCTCTCACTCACCTGCACACATAGTCGGCCTTGCAAATACGCAGCTGTGTCAGGCAGCTGGGTTTGTCCGAGCCCTCGAAGGAGCAGCCGGGAACTATGGTCTGCCTGCGTCGCTCTGCGCACGCCATGTCCGTGCAGGGGCAGAAGAGTAGCTCGTGTGTGTAGTCTGGAGGGACCCGATCAAAGAACCGGCGTAAGGCCTTGTTGCACTTGACCTTGTTGCAGAGGCCAGACTTGGCTGAGGGCTTGATGCAGGCAGATACGTACTCTGTGCGGAGCTTTTGGCACAGGTCGTCGACATTACATGCCTTGGCTGCATCCAGGCAGCGGTTCACCGTCGCCATGCCGGCCTCAGAGTCTGTTGGCGCAAGGGAAGGAGGAACCAGGGATCAGAGAACCATACAATAACAAGAGAAAGACAGAGCAATACTTTTTGGGTAAATGGTATATCACCTATCAGTGATACAGTGCCTTCAGAAAGTATTCACACCCTTGACTTTTTCCACATATTGTTGTGGTTCAGCCTGAACTTAAAATTGATTAAATTGAGAGAGAAGAAAAATGTCACTGGCCTACACACAATACCCTATAAAGTGGAATTACGTTATTTTTTGTTTTTTTGTACAAATTAATTATAAATGAAAAGCTGAAATGTCTTGAGTCAATAAGTATTCAGCACCTTTGTTATGGCATTACTAAATAAGTTCAGGAGTGAAAATGTGCTTAGCAAGTCACATAATAAGTTGCATGGACTCACTCTGTGTGAAATAATAGTGTTTAACAACATTTTTGAATGACTACCTCATCTCTGTACCCCACACATACAATTATTTGTAAGATCCCTCAGTCGAGCAGTGAATTTCAAACACAGATTCAACCACAAAGACCAGGGAGGTTTTCCAATGCCTCACAAAGAATTACACCTTTTGGTAGATGGGTAAAAAAAAAAAAAAAAGATATTGAATGTCCATTTGAGCATGGTGAAGTTATTAATTACACTTTGGATGGTGTATCAATACACCCAGTCACTACAAAGATACAGGTGTCCTTCCTAACTCAGTTGCCAGAGAGGAAGGAAACCGCTCAGGGATTTCACCATGAGCCCAATGATGACTTTAAAAAAATATTAACCTTTATTTAACTAGGCAAGTCAGTTAAGAACAAATTCTTATTTACAATGACAGCCTACACCGGCCAAACCCGGACGACACTGGGCCAATTGTGCACTGCCCTATGGGACTCCCAATCACGGACGGTTGTGATACAGCCTGGAATCGAACCGGGGGTCTGTAGTGACACCTCAAGCACTGAGATGCAGTGCCTTAGACCGCTGCGCCACTCGGGAGCCCTTTAAAACAGTTACAGAGTTGAATGGCTGTGATAGGAGAAAACTGATGATGGATCAACAACATTGTAGTTACTCCACAATATTAACCAAATTGTCAGAGTGAAAATAATAAAAAAATATTCAAAAACATGCATCCTGTTTGCAACAAGGCACTAAAGTAATACTGCAAAAAATGTGGCAAAGCAATTAACCTTTTTGTCCTGAAAACAAAGTGTTATGTTTGGGGCAAATCCAATACAAGAGAGTTTTTTTTAAGCATAGTTTTGGCTGCATCATGTTATGGCTATTCTTGTAATCGTTAAGGACTGGGGAGTTTTTCAGGATAAGAAATAAACGGAATGGAGCTAAGCACAGGCAAAATCCTAGAGTAAAACCTGGATCAGTCTGCTTTCCACAAGACTCTTGGAGATGAGTTCACCTTTCAGCAGGACAATAACCTAAAACACAACACCAAATCTACACTGGAGCTGCTTACCAAGAAGACCGTGGATGTTCCTGAGTGGCCGAGTTACAGTTTTGATTTAAATCTACGGCAAGTCCTGAAAATGGTTGTCTAGCAATGATCAACAACCAATTTGACAGAGCTTGAAGAATTTTGAAAAGAATACTGGGCAAATGTTGCACAATCCAGATGTGGAAAGTTCTTAGAGACTTACCCATAAAGCCTCACAGCTGTAATTGCTGCCAAAGGTGCTTCTACAAAGTATTTTCCTCAGGGGTGTGAATACTTATATAAATTAAATACAGTGGGGGAAAAAAGTATTTAGTCAGCCACCAATTGTGCAAGTTCTCCCACTTAAAAAGATGAGAGAGGCCTGTAATTTTCATCATAGGTACACGTCAACTATGACAGACAAAATGAGATTTTTTTTCCAGAAAATCACATTGTAGGATTTTTAATGAATTTATTTGCAAATTATGGTGGAAAATAAGTATTTGGTCAATAACAAAAGTGTCTCAATACTTTGTTATATACCCCTTGTTGGCAATGACACAGGTCAAACGTTTTCTGTAAGTCTTCACAAGGTTTTCACACACTGTTGCTGGTATTTTGGCCCATTCCTCCATGCAGATCTCCTCTAGAGCAGTGATGTTTTGGGGCTGTCGCTGGGCAACACAGACTTTCAACCAAAGATTTTCTATGGGGTTGAGATCTGGAGACTGGCTAGGCCTCTCCAGGACCTTGAAATGCTTCTTACGAAGCCACTCCTTCGTTGCCCGGGCGGTGTGTTTGGGATCATTGTCATGCTGAAAGACCCAGCCACGTTTCATCTTCAATGCCCTTGCTGATGGAAGGAGGTTTTCACTCAAAATCTCACGATACATGGCCCCATTCATTCTTTCCTTTACACGGATCAGTCATCCTGGTCCCTTTGCAGAAAAACAGCCCCAAAGCATGATGTTTCCACCCCCATGCTTCACAGTAGCTATGGTGTTCTTTGGATGCAACTCAGCATTCTTTGTCCTCCAAACACGACGAGTTGAGTTTTTACCAAAAAGTTCTATTTTGGTTTCATCTGACCATATGACATTCTCCCAATCCTCTTCTGGATCATCCAAATGTACTCTAGCAAACTTCAGACGGGCCTGGACATGTACTGGCTTAAGCAGGGGGACACGTCTCGCACTGCAGGATTTGAGTCCCTGGCGGCGTAGTGTGTTACTGATGGTAGGCTTTGTTACTTTGGTCCCAGCTCTCTGCAGGTCATTTACTAGGTCCCCCCGTGTGGTTCTGGGATTTTTGCTCACCGTTCTTGTGATCATTTTGACCCCACAGGGTGAGATCTTGCGTGGAGCCCCAGATCGAGGGAGATTATCAGTGGTCTTGTATGTCTTCCATTTCCTAATAATTGCTCCCACAGTTGATTTCTTCAAACCAAACTGCTTACCTATTGCAGATTCAGTCTTTCCAGCCTGGTGCAGGTCTACAATTTTGTTTCTGGTGTCCTTTGACAGCTCTTTGGTCTTGGCCATAGTGGAGTTTGGAGTGTGACAGTTTGAGGTTGTGGACAGGTGTCTTTTATACTGATAAGTTCAAACAGGTGCCATTAATACAGGTAACGAGTGGAGGACAGAGGAGCCTCTTAAAGAAGAAGTTACAGGTCTGTGAGAGCCAGAAATCTTGCTTGTTTGTAGGTGACCAAATACTTATTTTCCACCATAGTTTGCAAATAAATTCATTAACAATCCTACAATGTGATTTTCTGGATTTTTTTTTCTCAATTTGTCTGTCATAGTTGACGTGTACCTATGATGAAAATTACAGGCCTCTCTCATCTTTTTAAGTGGGAGAACTTGCACAATTGGTGGCTGACTAAATACTTTTTTCCCCCACTGTATTTCGGTATTTCATTTTCATTTTCATTAAATTTGCCACAATTTCTAAAAACATGTTTTAATTTTGTCATTATGTAATCTAATTTGAATTCAGGCTGTAACACAACAAAATGTGGAATAAGTGAAGGGGTATGAATAATTTCAAATCTAGTTCCTCTATTGTTCTAAGGTTCATTGTTCCTCTGTACTTCTCTTCCTGAAAACGAAATGTTAAATCAGATGTAAATGAGGGGCTTGGAAACAAACATATCATTTGTAATATTGATAATTGTGTTCAGACTCATGGAAAACACTTTCATTTTTAACTATGCCTCCAGGACACAATGTGGACTCTTCTATGCCTAAGGCTGCCTACCAGGGGGACCTAAACGATACAAGACGGGTTCTTTTCAACATGAAACCTCTGGTTCATTGTCAAAACGAACCGAGGTCAACGTACTTACCAGCCGTGATGGAGGCCAGACGAACGTAGTCGTAGTCTCTCTCCATTGCTTCATAAGGGTAACTCTCTACCAGGTTGAGTCCTGAGAGGATTTGGAATGACACGGTAATGACACACTATCCCTTTGGAGCGATTGAACATGATTCACACTAGGATTGGACGGTATACTGTATATAGTGTAAACAGGGATATTTAGAAAAAGCCATGGGGTGGTTTTTCAATACTGTCAGTACCGTTTAAACTATTTCTTTGAAGTTTTTTTTATACATTTGAATATCGGTAACTACTTTTTAAGTAAAAACCTGAAGTCAACTTGAGCAATACGTTAGGAGATAAAGAACATTGTGTTCTTCATTTCACCTGTCATTATTATGAAGTATACGGTAGTCCCCAGTCACGTGGGGTTGAGACTAGAGACCGGAGCCTTGTGAGTCACTCACTGTTGTGCAGCATGCGCTAGGTGATATAATTACAGTATGGAATTCACTACTAAATGTTTGCCAGCTAGATATCATATAACTATTAAGTTAACTGTCTAAATGTGCTAAATGCTCTGAAGTTGTGCATTTGGTTTGCTAATTTAGTAGCTAGTTAGCTATCTAGCTAAGTGGTTAGCTTCTTCCAAAATTAAACATCTGCTTGGTAACAGCATAGAATCCCCTCCTGGATCAAGAGCCTTGCTGGCTAATATTTTTTTTTGTGTGTGCAGCAAACTGTGACTAGCATTTTTGAGTTACTTGTATACTTATATAGTTTAGGTTAGAAACTGTACAAAATATTTGCAATGCGTTAGCATTCTCTATGGGATTTTACATGTACTTGTTAGCATTGCTAACCTTCAGTTTACAGAGCATCAGTGGGGTTTGAAAACAGCGGCCCTTGTGTTCAGGGCCGGTATTACCGAATATCCCGGTATGGCACAAGGTCGGTATGAAGGTATGACAATCTGGATACTGGCCAAGCCTAATTCACACATTTTTCATTTCCTATAGTCGTTTACTATCTCTCATGCAGGTTAATACAGAAAATAATTCAAGGACCTTCAGTCATTTGTTCCACAGTGACACCAGGTGTGGTGACTGATGACTGACTGTTTGCCAGGCATCATGACTAAGCTGCATCAGCCACATTGTGTTGTTGGTAGAGAGTTAAATCTGTAACCTGTGTTACGTAAATGGACTTGGCCGTTGTCCCATCCGATACAAATGACTGAGCAAATGGCTAAGTTGCTCACCGTGTATGACAGACTGATGGAGACTCCAGTAGATGCTGAGGCAGTTCTTCTCCTTCTTCATGCCCCGCTTGCACTGGCAGCCGTGTAGGGGGCTGGAGAGCAAGGCCGACACGGCGTTGGCGCACTGGCTCCGAGCCCCAGGGCCCAGCTTCATGCTGCCATCGCCCGCCACGCACTGACGCAGGGTCCGCAGACGTGGGCTGCAGGTCTCGTCGCTGGAGCACGAGTCCCCCGCCACCAGACAGTCTCTGCCTGCTGACAGAACTACCTGCAGGGCTACAGGACAGAGGAGGGGAGAGGGAGGGTGAAGGGGAGGAGAGTCAAGGACAATTACGATGTGCTTTATAGATATGGTAAGAATAGGTCTTGACCTGAAACTGCTTTAGAGGAACACAAAGACTCATCTAATGTTCAGTGCCAGTTCATAATGATACACGTAGTGTAACATATTATTTCAGGTCACTGTTAATTTGGGAAAACCTAATTTATCATTATGCAGATAACCCAACCCATGACCTAAACCATAGGTGATTACCTTGTATAATCCAATTAAATGAAAAGTATGAGGCTTGTGAAAACATCTGGTGAAATGTAGAAAATATGTGGCTACAACTACAGGCTACAATATCTGTTTGTCTATTACCACTGGAACCCTTTATCTGTTTGTCTATTACCACTGGAACCCTTTATCTGTTGGTCTATTACCACTGGAACCCTTTATCTGTTTGTCTATTACCACCAGAACTCTTTATCTGTTGCTCTACCGACTACCGTATTACGACCGGAACCCTTTCTCTGTTGGTCTATTACCACTGGAACCCTTTATCTGTTTGTCTATTACCACCGGAACCCTTTAACTGTCCGGAAAGAGCTTTGAGGCTGAATCAATAAAGTCCATTGACGAGGTATTCTTCATTGACGAGCTCTATTCTCCCATTGAATTTCTCTGGCAATGTAGGCCACCTTGATTTAAATATGTCTCTGTTAGAGCTAGTGACTGAGTGGCACTCTAATGCCATCATTATAAACTACAATGAAATATTCCATTTGGTTCATGTTCAATGTAAAATCCTCATTGGGAAGACATTCCCGTCCCTGACACTCCGATTGAAACGGGTTCAAAACGTCAGGACATTTGTGGATTTTGGGGATGACACACGTTTTGTGCGGAGCATTCAGAGGACATAATGACTGTAGCAGCACTGTGTATGTTATTAAAAACAAAAAACTATGGTTTGAATCCTAAGCAACCTACATACACATTGTTTGAAGTACAATAGACCAAAATAACTACTGTAGTAGGTCAAAGCTGTGTGCTGGAAAGCCTTGGTAGAGCATGGGTGGAGTAGGCATTGTGGTGCTCTTCCTTTATTTTTCGGCTTCAGACCAATGCCTACTTCTCACTTAAAACGTAGTTTTTAGTTTTTCATTTCCATAGTTTTTACACTGGAAGGTGATTATGCAACATTATTATACAACATTATAATACAGCATAACACAGCAATACAAGTACACAATAATGACAACTGGCAACAGAAATAATGTAGTTATTAGTATTTATTTAATATTAACAGCTGATTTTCCAGAGGGAGGAGAAAAAACAGAAACCCAATCAAGCAAGCTCCTGGAAAATACACAAATAATCAACATGTAGCCTACCCATGAACTATTTACATACATTATTGACTGTCACATTAGGTGGCTCGGCGAGCAAGGCATGAAGTGGCACAAACTGCTTTGTGTTCTGGGCCAGCAGAGGGCCTGTGCTACTTCTCCCCCTGACATCCTAGTCATCCACCTCGGTAGAAACGACTTGGGATACACCAAGGGGTCGGCACAGGTGCGTTGACTTAGAGGTGGTCATCTGAATGTTTCCCGGGACAACAGTGGTCTTCTCTGATATCGAGTAGAGGCGCTGGATGTTCCAGTGGGACCATAAGATAAACAAGTGCATAGAGAGGGCCCGGCGCTTCGTCAATCAGCCGGTGTACGCATTTCAGGGAATTCTCCACCCTGACATTAAGAAGTGTGTCCCTGGGATGTACCGTAGGGGTGGAGTGCATCTGACAGATGAGGGCAACGACGTATTCCTTGAGAGTTGAGAGTTGGTCTCTCCTGTCTCCACCGTTCTGTCCTCCGTAGTAGCAAGACGGAGAAGGGTGCAATTGCGTCCCACAAATCGGGGCGTTCTTGCATGTGGGCATTTCTACATATGCAGGAACCCCTCTTTATACTTCTAATTGGTCAATTTTTAAGCTAGGACTCCGGCACACAGGCTTCAGTACAGTAGGTGGCGATAATGCACCATAACGTTGGATGCCAACCGCCGATAAACCCCACAGAGGAAGACACGGGGGTGAAAACGCCAGTAGCTAGCTAGGACAACGGTAGACAGTGTCCTTTGCCCTCGCCTTTCGGGCACTTTTTTCTCGTAGTTCTGTTAACGACGGCGAGGGCAGGTGTTCGGCAGGCGTTAGCGAAGGACACTAGGTGCTAGTTAGCTAGTTAGCTAGCTAGGACTCCGGTACAGGGCAGGCGGGATAGGCTGCTAGCTAACTAACGATAGCTAAGACACCGGTAGACATTGTCCTTCACCCCCTCCTGTTGGGCACTGCTTTCCCGCAGTTCTGTATTTCTTTCTCTTGCTTAGTAAAAAAAATTGACTAAAACAGTTGATGTGTTGAAAACAGTCACATAGCTAACCAAGTTAGCAAGCATGGCATTTTATTTTGACTGTGCAAAGGTCACGCAAGCAAGCAATGATGTTGGTGTTGTTTAACCTGGGTGCACCAACACCCCCCTGACTACCTTTCACTTGGATGGCGACTTCAGGTTTTTGGGAATACATTGAATAGTAACTTCACACTGTGTTAATCAGCGCAAATGTGGATTATAAAGACAAGAAGAAAATTGCATTGACAGGAGGGAGCATACTGAATCAATGCATAGGTTAAGGGCAGTAACGTTAGCCTGCTACATTGCTAAGCAAGCCAGGTTGATTAGCGTATGGAGAAACGGTAGCTAACGTTAATGCTAGATGAGCAATGCCCATTGCATGTATTATACATTAGCAGCGTGGTAGTTTCCCAAAGTTTGGTGTTGACTATGAACTAGCTGTGCTTTGTGGAAGAATGTGGGAGATGTTGTAAATATTGAGTTGTGCCGGTACACCGCGATCTGGCCATACAGCTAATGTTACAGCCTTGTTGGCTTGTAGCTAGCTAACGCTACTGGCTAACGTTAGTTGGCTAGCTAACTGGCAATAGCAGCCGAGGACGTTCGCCATCTTATCTGTGCTTATTTGTTTTTTACGCAAGTGTCAAGACCAACAGTTGACACAGATGACTTCAGCCATGGGAAAAGCTTCAATAGCAAAATATAGCTAGCTTCAGGGGCGGCCTGTTCAATAGGGCGATATGGGCGACGCACTGCCAAACGGGAAAAGGAAGGGATTTTTTTTCTAATCAATTATATCACGGCAACAGTAGTTATCAGTGTTGTAATCTATACGTCTGATCTGCCACAGTGCCACACTGCCACTAAATGTCGAATCAGGCTAAAGTCGTGCTTCAAATGGCTCCCCCCCCTTTTGGGGCGATTTCAGTCAGGTTGAAAATCGCCCAGAAGTCTCTCATAGCCTCTAATGTAAAATCTATTTTTTTCAAATTTCAGAGCCTTCAATACAATCTCTATGGGTGTCTGAGGGCTTGCACTTACGCGCTTTCGTCATACGTAACGTAACGTAACCATGAACGTAACTGAGAAAAGAGCGGATTGTGTCTTTGAAAGAAGTTCCTTTTTGTCGGCGAACAAATGAAGATAAATTGGCAACGAAACAATTAGGACCTCCCAGACCAAATTTAATAATTCAACAGGTTTCTACTAAAGGCGGAAAGTCCTACACCCGAGGATTTTCCAAAAATTGGTACGAACGGAAAAATAACATTGCCACTCAACTTGATGAGGGATACAGGCTAGCTGTCCGCCGCCACAACGATGAGGTTAGTGTTGATAATCACAAGTTTACTGGAGAACTGAGACCAAGTAGAGACTTTGGACAGGGTGGATATGGTATAATAAAGGCAGTTTATTCAGAGGTAAAGATATCTGGAATCGCGTGCACGGACCCGTTCGTCAAACTCTTAGGGAGCTATAAATTAAGCCCCATTACTTACCATATCAGATAAGAGAAATTGCTGCAGCTACATATATTTTACATCCTGGCCCTACATAGTTCACTATTTGCATCACTTACCAAAATATTACATGTGGTCATATATGCTTGGAAAGTGGAGATGCCATAGAACGTCAAAAAAGTAAACATTGCTGGAGACACATTGCCGTTTTGGAGAAGACATCGCGTTTGCTAGCGAAGAGATTTGTTGTGGCAAATGAACTTGGGCTGGGAATTGCCAGGAACCTCACGATAAGATATATGCATCAGCATTGCGAGTCTCATGATTCTATACGTATTGCGATTCGATACTGTGATTTTATTGCGCACCATATGTCTGTTGCAGAGGGATCAGAAAGCCATGAGAACAAGTTTTGATCAGTCATGGAAATAAAAGTGCTGAAAACAAATTGGCTCCCAATGTGAAAAGATTGAGAACAAGCTATGAAGGAACAATAATGGTGTTTTGGTGCAGGTACAGCCAACTAGCGCTAAAATATTGCGATATTGTCAATACAGTATATCGTAAAGTATCACTATGTAACTCGATTTCTTTCACCCCAATCCCTCAAATTAACGGTAAATAACTGAATTGTTTGCCCCACATTTAGCTAAGATGATTAGCTAGCCAGCTAAAATGTTTTATTTAGTTAGCAGTCGCATCTACAATAGTTTACTGTCAATAACATGTCTCCAAAAATGACGTGGTGTCTCCAATTGTGTTGACATTTTACAATTGCGATGCGCATCCATGAGTATCCACTTTCTGTAGCTCAGCTGGTAGAGCATGGCGCTTGTAACGCCAAGGTAGTGGGTTCGATCCCCGGGACCACCCATACACAAAAATGTATGCACGCATGACTGTAAGTCGCTTTGGATAAAAGCGTCTGCTAAATGGCATATTATTATTATTATTATTATTATCTGAAGAGAGCCCCGAAACATTGTGTGCAGACATTTTATGCAATAAATGAAGTAGGTTGAATCTAGTAGTTCTGATCTTCTGATTGGTCCTGATGAGTTGGGCGAGGTCCCCTCCAGGCTACTGTCACTGTTGCATTGGCTCTGAGTCGGGTTCTCTGTCTTCAAATGTTCAGCCTAAGAGAGGGGATTTTTGTGTGTGTGTGTGTGTGTGTGTGTTTAACAGTGATGATGTGTGTGTGTGTGTGTGTGTGTGTGTGTGTGTGTTTAACAGTGATGATGTGTGTGTGTGTGTGTTTGTGTGTGTGTGTGTGTGTGTCCTCAGAGCAAGAACTCGTGAGTTGGAAGAACTGAGAGGCCTATGGCGTGGGTGTTGTCCTTGGCCACCTGCTGACAAGGCTGACAAGATAGGACCCTTTTGTCCATTGTTATTGGATAGGAACAGAACTTATAACCAGCTCCTGACCTAAATAGATCTTAGCACAACATTTTACTCAACATATCATATTCCATATTCACTATAACAAATATATTTACTACGACATTAGCAAGAACCGCCACATCCTCAGCCGGCTAATCCAGTGTGTGAAGTTTTGCGGAGTGTTTGAGTTAGCTTTGCGAGGCAAAGATGAAACTGAGGGCTCCACCAACCCTGGTAAGCCAACACTTTTGAGATCAGTCAATAAATGCTTCTGGTATTGACTTATATGCTGCCCCTGTCTTCATGTTGTTGCTGGACATATCTTTTTTAAAATGTGTGTAGGTCACCTAAATCATCAGAAAAATTGCCCCCCCTGAGAATTTTTTCAGGAGCCGCCACTGGCTAGCTTCCTATGCTTGTAGATTGGCTCTCATCCGACTGGTGTTAGCTAGCTACTAGCTCTGTTGCTGCAAAACCCAAGTGCTTTTGTCCGCTGAAAAGATGTTAGCATTGTCAGAAATGCTACAAAAAGGTAGCACATATTTGGTTCTTAACGAACAGAAATGAGCACGTAAGAGTGATAAATTATACATTTAATCAAAACTGTTGCCCTTACAAACGTATTCAGTCCGAAAGGTGGCAAGTCTAATGGTCACTTTATGGACGCTGCAGTCTCGTTCTTATCTGAAGCCTAGATATTTAGCTAGGTCGGGCCAAGAAATTGAACTTTTTTTCCTAATGCTAACGTCCCTGTTAAAAATCCGGTATGTGTCTCTCTGTAATGGCCAGATGGCTCATGACGAGAGGCAGGGAGTATGTTGTGTACCTCCAATCAAGTTGATTTGCGAATTTTTATCAACACTGGTGTCATATTGGCTTAGATATGGTAGGGAGATATTAATTTAATATTGAGCTTCAACCAATGCATATACTATTGTGGGGCCAACTCCCCATAACAATCTTGGCTGTGGGGAGCCTGTCCCAAGTCCTTTTACAGCTCTCTATCTGTCTCAATACAGTCGACATGACAGCTGGCAAAATGAGGCTTCTATCTTCTTCGAGTGTTCTTCTGAATCTGCTGTTTCTGTACACTCTTAGAAAAAAGGGTTCCAAAACGGTTCTTCGGCTGTCCCCATAGGAGAACCCGTTTTGGTTCCAGGTAGAACCCTTTTGGGATCCATGTAGAGCCCTCTGTGGAAATGGTTCTACATAGAACACAAAAGGATTCTACCTGGAACCAAAAGGGTTCTACCTGGAACCAAAAAGGGTTATTCAAAGGGTTCTCCTATGGGGACAGCCAAAATACCCTTTTAGCTTCTAGATAGCACCTTTTTTCTAAGAGTGTAGAGGATTAAGGAGGGATAACCGTATTTGATACAACCCTGGCCGGTGGTGCGCTAATCAAATGAAACATGATGAGAGCATTATTTATACCCAACTTCCTCATTCCCTCTCTATTCCACACTGCTTTGAAGCATGTTAATGAGGGATTTTCAAATACAATCATTAAACTACTCTTCATACTTTGTCTTTTCATTTGTATTTCTCTGTCTAATATAAGACTAGCCTTTGTGGGGGTTTTCAGAGGTTTTTTCAGGGAGCCTTGTGCTGATAGATGAGATGGGTTGATGAAGATGGGCTCTCGTTGCTGAGGCTTTTACAAACAGTAGTGAAGTGCAGGGGTCTTC